ACACAAACATACAAAAATAGGTACAAATCTTTCCTCTTTATAATATTAGTATAGATACTATCTTACGTAATACAAGGAAAATTAAATTTCACAAAACATAATAAATTACCTGGAAAAAAGTTGCCAAGACGAGATCAAGAGGGATTGCACTTATACATTATCTTTACGTGTATTCATTTTAATTATTGGGCATTCACGTAATTGAAAAGATATTCTTTGAAATGACATATCAAAGAACTTTCTATGAACTGTTAAAATAATCCTTCGAAATTGAATTGCGTATTCAGATACAGGTACATTTTGGTCAGGCAATAATACTGTAATCAAAGTGCCCAGTGCATTTCTACGGCTTCACGCCGGCCGTGTGTTGTCCATTGGTATTAAATTAAGCAATCACGACCACTATTCTGTAACCCTTCACAAAATAGTAGCGAGGGAATTAATATTCCACTCTCATGTACCACATCGTTAATCCGATCTTCATGCGGGGCCATCACTAATTGAACCAATATAACTAATAATCATATCTATAGTTACACCTCACTATTTGCTTCGAACAATATTTTTATTAAAAACCAAAATAATGAGGAAATTTTAACCCCATGTTAATGTGAAATGATGTACGAAATTTTAAAATAACATCATTACATTAAAAAAAGCTTTCATTTCGTTTCGACTGGGAGTTGCAATGCGGAATAATTAATAAAAGGGATCATTTACGTTATTATAGTTCTTTGTTGTTAAAACAACGTTGCAGTGTAAAAATAAAGGCACAAACAGAACATAATTTAATTATTCTAGGAAAATGAAATTATTTTCATATATCTGTGAATTGCAGGCAAAGGGATTGGTTTTTGGAAAACATATCAAATCCTATTACAGGTTGTCAGTAGCTAAATCTACAAACAAAAGTTGGCATTTGTTTGCAACGGTGAACTGTGGGTGAAACACAGCTAACGAGAATAGTTTACAGTTATCATGAAACCTCAAACAATTATGAACTCAAACAAAAAAGTTCAAATTAAAAGTTGTTTGGAGATTTTTTTGGAAAACTGGCATGCTAGTACAAGCCTGGATTGCAACTGCTTCCAACTAGACAATGGATAAGCGGATTTGACTTTCTCAACCTATGTTGGTGTAAAAACATAATGATTAGGAGATGAAAGGATTTGCCGGGGCTTCGGCTTGAAGTGCAGGAGCAGGAACGGGGTGGTTTGTAGTCAAAAAGAGTCTGACACTCCTTCTCGCCTCACCTAAGGCGGGATAAGTCATTATTGGATGATTTTACCCCGTCAAAAAAAAGGGGAAAATAAAGATTTAGATAAAATATTTATGTTAGTGTATTTTTGGATTTCAAATCGGTCAGTTTTGGTCCGGTTATAGTGACTTAATCTCACCGACTTATTCCATAGTTCATTTGGCCTGGTGTAATATACCTGTCTCCTTCTTCCATTCTTTCATCAGTTTCCCTGTCAATAACTCTCTTCTCTTTCACATTGTATGTTATAATAGTAAGTATTCCCTAAACCTTGGAATTGTGCCCGGTTTATGGCAATAGGCTCATTCGTATTACATGTGGCCTATAAGATAAATAATGAAAAGTGGGTATCACATTTGACAGTGGCATTAATTGTCGTAATGTGCACCTTTGCACGCCTTTGGGGATAAATGCATGATGTTATGGTATTATCTTCCTTTCTTACATTTTTTCTCTATTAAACATCATCCTATTACTATGATTCTTCTCTTTGTATCGTTTGTTCTATTTACAAACTATCTAATAATAGTTTTCCCTATATCTCCTTAAGCTTGATCAGTAGTTGTTTCTGGCATGCCATGCAACTCCACCAATATGTTTGTATGTTCCTAAGGCTATAAATAACTAACCAAGAGTATGCAGCCCGACCTTAATTGCTACATATTGTTCGGCAGCACTTCAATACATACTAAGAAACATTTTAATTAGCAACCAATTAATTACCTTGATTGGCTAATAATAATTAAGGATTCCTTCGTATTTTATAGAAAATTCGAATTAATTATGTTTTCTTTCCAACATCAATGTACGAAGTACTACAAGTGAATGTATTTAGAATTAATCGGATATTAGGTAATATTTCTTTGAAAATTCCTGTTCTTTCAGATGAGCATTCAAAGTTTTATTGATAATTTTTTCATCAGTTACTTCTTTTGATTTATACTTTATTTAATATATTGGTTCGATATTAATTTGATTAGTCCTCCTTGCTTTGTGTTGGCCTCAAGAGCTTAAATTCAAAGAGGCTTTAATTCTATTTTTGTTTTTAATTTTATATATTACATGGTCGTCACTTAATTGATTGGCCTTCTAAAGCTTCATTCTAGGAATCTAGTCTATAGATTGGTTTGGATGATTTTTTTATACAATTCAAACGAATGAACTTTCAGAACAATCCTAATGGATGGATACAACCATTTAGGAATTCTTGGATATTATGGATTTAACACAATGAATTTGTTTCGTTATTAATTAAAGTTTTGAAAAACTAATATAGAACTTAATAATTTCAAACATTTAAAACGTTGCTGCATATAAAAATATCACTTAAAACAGATGAAATAAATACTTTGGCCAGGCTAGTACAACAACAGAGACATTGGCTACATTGCTCACTAACCAACCTATGTATATAACATAACATAACATAATACCTTTTTATTCCCAAAAGGGTAGACTGATTTGCACATTATGACACCTAATGCCATTGCACAATATTACACCCACTTCACACTATTTATGTTATGTATCCCATGTAATAGGGTAGCCTATTGCCATATACCAGACACAATTCCAGGCTCCGTGCTACTACTGATATTATTTTTAAAAATTCAGTAATACTTTGCTCGACCCGAGCATCGAACCCGAGACCCCTTGCCTGGCAGTCCCACTTGCGACCACTCGGCTAACGCGTTAATAACAAAACCTTTTGAATAGCGGTCTCGAACCTGTCTATCACGTATAGAGATTATGACAAAACCTCTTATATAGAAAATATTCATAATCCATTCACTGGACTGTGATGGACTGTCCATTTATTTGTCTGTATTTTATAACATTTTCAATCAGTAGGTGGATTCTCCAAAAAAAAAAACCAAAAAATTAACGGCGTCATTATCCTTAAGCCACAGTTAACAATTCTGCTGATTAAAATACAAAGTTTAATTTCAAAAAATTGAGCCACTGTCACTGCTCTCACCCAATACAATAAAATACAGATGCTAATAAGTTACTGCGATGCTTAACACCGCGGGAGGATAATGATTTGTTAAATAAAAGTTAAAATTTTTTGAAGAAACACCCAGGTACCTTGTTTACTCCAAAGTAAATCTGCTAAAACTACATAGCTTTTAGCGTTAAGTACTAAACTTGTGCGCTAAATACTAGTACTAAAACTACCACTCCGCCTTTAAAACAAATCTAGAAACAAAATTCAAAACTTAAAACAGCATCAAAGAGCATTTCTGTAAAGCAGCTTAGATGTATTTGAAAATATTAAAAGCCCTTCAGAACTTGTAAACGTGTTTCAATAAAGCTGCTTACATTTTTACATATCAAAAGTTCTAGGAATCAGGAATCGTTTGAACGCAAAGCGTGCTAGTGATATTAAAATGCAGTACCTAATAAAAACATCGTAATAAAAAGTCTCCTAAGCTTATAAGTGAAATGCTAGATAGGAACGAGTCTCTCATGTAAGGGGAACCGTTTGTAAAAGTTTAATACCAAATGTCTTTAATGCACTCCTACGTACTCCCAGTGCTTTGCAATAAAACCCGGGACGTTTTTTAAAAGAACACTGCTTTGTTGTGATTTAAATTCTTTAAAATGAAGTCTGTATTAAATTGTTGTTGTATTAAGTTGGAAAAAGAGCACCTAATAATGGTTTAGAAAAAAAAAATCAACTTTATTTATTTATTTACTTAGTAGAGTAACATGTGTACAGGTGGACGTAATGCCTTGGGCATTGTCTCACAGTCGTCCTTAAGGTGGTGCAGAGGTAAAAGTGGCAGGTGACTAAGCAAATATTAATAATCTATATAAATAAAAAACAATTTCCGTTCGTTAGTCTCGCTAAACCTAAAGAACGGCTGAACCGATTTGGGTAATTTTGGTATTGAAATGTTCGTGGAAGTCCAGGGAAGGTTTATAAGTTGAGAAAAAACATTTATAGGCGGTACAAAGTTTGCCGGGCCAGCTAGTAAATATATAAATACTTACTTAGATAATTACCTATATCATACAAATTTGATTTTTTTTACTTTAACCTTTCGTGTGTCTAAGACGTGGATCCACGCGAGATATACCTAATGTATTTTCTATTTTGTCTCATATCGGTGCATTCGAAAGGTTACTACCCTTTTTTGTTTTTGATTGACTACTTGGGTAAAGCTCGAGTCCCGGTTAGATTCTTACAGATTTTCGAAGATCGTCGTGTGTCGCAGAATGCTGCTTCTGAATATGAGTCTCATGACTTGAAACAAGTCGAGTCCCTCGTTAAACAGTTACTTACGTGTATTTTTTTAAGGAAAGAAAATTATCGAATTACTACTCCCGCCTGGGTGAGGCGGAAGGGAGTGTCAGACTCTTACTGACTAAAAACCACCTCGTTCCTTCTCCTGCACGTCGAGCCGGAGACCCGGTTACCCGTTAGGTTCTCCGCTTACGTATATGAACCGACAAACATATTAATTAATTAGTTTCAAAAAAGTTACAATATGAATTCTGGTTTCATCATATTACGGTGGTTTATTTAATAGCACTAACCAGTTAGATATTTCATGATGTCTTCAGATGATAGAAGCTAATTATTGCACCTCCATGACGTATTTTGAACGTTGGAAATTGCAGTATGAATTCGGGGTTCAAGTACGTGCGCATTCGGAGATTCTATTATTATCTTTACGGTTGCGAACTACGCTTCCGAACTGAACAATACTTTTTGTGATAGTCTATTGATCGAGGTATGGGCTATAAAACTGTGATCCATAGGAGCGGGTGGAACCACGAGAAAAGAGCGTAAACGTACATCTACATCATATGTTGCCCATTTATATATTTAAACAAAGATAGCTAGAATAGAACAGGTGAATGGGCACTTTGGAATGTGTGCATAGACTAGTTCGGATATTGTTACCGTGGAAGTATGGATTTTAAATGAAACTACATGGTTGGTGCAGTAGGTAGGTTAGGAAAACTGAACAGGCGGTTGTGAAGTGGGTAACAAGTTGCCGCACGGATATTTTTATGTGATCCGCTAACTATTGTTCGAGGTCTGCGTGGGATGTGAGTTTAAGCGTTTGAAAAGAAGGAGTTTCTAGAGTGGAGTAAGGTGGAACAAAAGTACACCTGCACATTTCCAATGTAACCATAGGGTTCCAGTAATCATAATTGTGGTGAAGTTATGTTATGAGTCCTACGATATGATACAGTAAGCCTATTGCAGGCACAATTCTAAAATCCGTGTGTCAATCACAGAGATTTTTTTGGAAAACCGAAAAATACCGTATCTGCCTTTTAGCAGTACATTACATAGGTTCCAGCCCCATACATCTCCAAGCGGTCACCGGTGACCGCTCTCCGCTAACTACATTATAGATCTTATTTCCAATGTTTAGAAACTACTTTTGTATGAATAAATTTAGGGAATGATTTTCAACAATTTTCAACGGGTTTTTATATGTTCTGTGGTTCCAGCCATTTGACTAATGAGAAGATGTAGGCACCCATGATATACATTCCAGTGTTATTAATTTTTTTGTTTGTTTCAGGTCTGTTATCCAGATGCCTTGGTATAAAGTCCAGATACTGACTGAGTAATTAGAATCAAGACAAACGATGACCTTTTTTACACTATTCGGTTTCCGGGTAGCCGGTGTAAAGTATTCAGCGGCAAATGTACTTTGAAACGTCCCGGTTCGGGCGAAAGTTAACATAGGAAGGTACTTACACAGTTACTGGGCGGCCCAGCACTCGGCAACGGTCTTATACTAAACATCGGGGTCCGGCATGCAAGACAAGGCGCTTACTGTCGAAGTTTACAACCAAACTTAGTGTGCTGCTGACTCGGCGGCGCGATCACGAAATATCAAACATAATATGACACGACATACAACTTCCAAGTATTCTCGTACAAAAGGCGAGTGCAGTGGAAGTAGCGGGGAACCTAATGAACGGCGCCCGCGGCCCTCTCGGCGTTGTATCAAACGACTTAGTACAAAATCTGGAGTTTCGGACCAACTTAGGTTTTTGAAAAAAATTCAATAGAATACTTAATAGATTAATGTCAAAAATCTATCTTTATCTGGACTTCGAATAACATGTTTATGAATAATGAATTTCTAATTATATTCGTTTGTAAAAAAAAAGTTAACTTGCGACATCCCACTCACCTATAAGAAGCCAGAAGAAGCCAAGAAAAACCAGTAAAATCAAAATTTAAACCCTGACCAGTTATTTTGTTTGTTTTGTTTTGTTTTTTTTTATTAAACGTTGCCCCACATTAAGATTTTCTCCTGTGTCGTGGGTGCGTTTACAAACATACAAGTTCACATAAACAATGACACCCAGACCCGAAACCACAATTTGTGGATCACACAAAGTGTTGTCCCGTGCGGGAATCGAACCCGCGACACGTTGCACGGCAGCCGGTTGCCCAGCCACCGCACCAACCGTGCAGTCAACAGTCAGTTTACATACATAATATTGTTTTGTGTAGTTCGTTTTCTACAAAAATCTTAACTAACACCACCTGTCAGATTAGTTTCAATTACTTTTATAATTTAGACTTTACTTTGAGTCAAAAACAAAAAAGCTATTGACTTAAGGTAATATCAACGTACCTATTACAGTTAATCTATATCTCAGTCAGTATTAGTCTGGTCTTTAATAACACGTAAAGCCTTTCCAAGCACTAAGTTCCGCCAAGGTGTCTGGATAAATACTTCGGATCCAGTTACAGAAGCAAGGAGGGAAGACATCAGCTATGGCGCGATCCTGCATCTGGAAGAGCGTGAACCTGCTGGGCGGTCTTGTAAGTATCTACTACACAAATATACTATTGTAATCTAAGGGCCACTGTTCACGTAACTACACGGCATACGCACACTTTCGTCAATTAACGAATTCAAGACGAATGCTTGCATCTTGCGTAGAAACAATCAAAACTCTGTCCACGTTGCGGCAACGTCGCGTCAATCACACGTCATGCGTACCTAATAACAAATATACAAAATTTACCTGAGTCACTTGAAGCATGCATGCATTTAGTCAAATGACGCAACGTGGACAGTAGCTCTGAGTTACTAAGTAAATTTCCCTTTTGTAATTTGAAGGAGTTAAACTACGTAAAGGCCATGTGTAATAAGAGAGCTAAAAGATATAAATAAAAAATGCGATGCTCTCTGATAAACTGCGTAGTTTGAAAAGTATTCAATCTGGGTACTAAAGCGTGGATAGTGTAGAAATAATCTCTTATTTCGTGGAGGTGGCCTATAAGGCAGAAGCCGACCCGCAGCATCAGGCTGTTGATGATGATAGTGACAATGACACACTCGCTGTAGAAGTAAACACACAAGCAAATATTTTCTAATTAGGTGTTTTCTTTAACTGAAGAAATAAAAAAGTCAATTGGAGGTTACATATTCAATGACATTTGACTTAAGTACTCATTTACCCCTTTCAACATCTATGCTGCCATTATTAAATTTCATACCATACACCAGATTCTGTAGACTAACAGACATGTAGGTATTTTAACAATGAATCGAAATTCTGACCCTTCAATCGAGAACCAAATTAATTAGTTGCGACCAAATCATATTAATGGACATTCAGAGGACCGTTGGAATGCGGTATGGCAGATCATTTGTACCTTTGTATATGTTGAGCAGACCTGGCCAAAATCAAAAATTTGTTGGTAATAATTGGTATGTGTCACTCCCTTGTTTTGTAATGTGTTCATAAGTATCGTATAGGTGTATAGAATGAGGCGTTGAATTAGTTTATAGAATGGTGATTGCTAGGTAGAAATAGTAGAATCAATTGATTTGCACTAAGTGATGAGGCGATACAATAAAATATAAACCGACGTGAAACAACGTTGTGTTGAGTTTCGTCGTGTGAGTGAGGTTACCGGAGGCCTAATTACCCCCCCCCCCCCTTTCCCCAATCCCTGAATCCCCAACAAACCTCAATTATTCCTAATCCAGAAGGCCGGTAACGCACTTGTAACGCCTCTGGTGTTCCAGGTGTCCATGGGCGACGCCGATTTGCCATCAGGTAATCCGTCTGCTCGTTTACCGGCTTATCCAATAAAAAATGTGGCGTTGGTTTATAGCCTTTGTCTGTAAAGAAAAATAATAAAAACGTATGACTGTGATGGTGTCTTATATAATATATCTTATATAATAAGACCCTGTGCCCCTATGTGAGCCCCAATTGTGATGCGGCGGCCCGCTCAGGCGCCTGATTAGGGCGTTGCGGCATGAGCTCCGATGCTATCTCATAGCGGAATGGCAGCAACGATTGTCACAACCGATGGCTGAGCTCGCTATTTTAACCGCAGTAAGTCCCCTCTTTGAGGAGTGGCTCGAGAGGCATGTGAGCTTGGTAATGTGTGAAATTGTGTATGTTATAGACCCTATCCACGGCTGAGAAAAACCAGCGTACCATGCGATAAGGAACTTTGTTCCAAAAATTTTAACATCATTATAACATTTGGCGTTCCAATGTCTCTGTCTATCCGATCGGGAGAGAGGCGCAACCAGAATTTGTATGTAATATAGGTGTGTATGTATGTATTACCGTCCTAACACAATTTATTTTCTAGGTGGCGGCGGTTTTTTTGATTGCCTGCCATATGCCGGCAGTATTATCAACGAGCGACCTGATGATACCACCCCTTCTCCAGACCAAGAATGTACACAACGACACCAAAAATACATCGACTTCAACACCACCGACTCTCTTGACCACTTTAGAAACGATTCAAACTACGACTTCAAACCCCGTAAGTACTTTATACTCCTTTTTAACCGAGTCAAGATAATTTAGGGCAACTGTCCATGTTGCGTCATTTGAAGAATGCATGCATTCTTCACAAGCAATATTGGCGGTCTACAAATGATGAATGTTTGCATCTTGCTTAGAAACAGTGATAACTGTCCACGAAGCGGTAACGTTAATTTCGCCTGTTGTTTTTGATGACATAACATGGACAGTAGGCCTAAATCTTCGAATTCCTTTGAATTGAACATTTTAAATTGGTATCTATTAATAATGATGTAAAAAAATGTCGTAGTTGCATTGTCAACGGACCCACGACATAGGAATAATCCTTACGTGGGGAAAAGTTGGTTTAACAAGAAAAGGAGAGGAAGAAACATAATATTAAAAGACTGTTCTGTTTTTAATGTAACAGTAGTTTGTACTGAAGTAAACTTTTAAAGAAAGAAATTAAATGATTTATCTACAGCTTCACATATTCATGATACGTTGTTGAGAATTCTCTCATAACTACGATATTTAAAATAGAGTTGTGAAATTTTGGGGTATTCTGAATAAAATCATGTCAAAAGTGCCTTCCTGGTCTAATTGAAATAAATGATTTTTACTTTGACTTTCACTTTGAATCAAGTCCGAATACACCCATAGATTAGTGAAAATAGGCAATTTTATTAGAGACGTTAATTTCTCAAACTTTTTTAAACTTGTGTCTTCAACTTCCAATTTAGGACCATTTTCTAACATTTATGTTGTTATACTAACAATACTAATTTGAAGTATAATAAATAAATTACTAATAGAAATAGAATTATAGTGTTTCATCTTAGAAGGTAGTATAGCAATAAGATCAACTCATGCATTGGACATCGTCGCATGCGCAGGTAAGTCACTGCGCAGATCACGCTTACACCTCACGCCTACTAACCCAAGGTAAGTGCCTGAATTAGTAATAGAACCTAGAAACCACAATACTACAAGGGGGCATTGTGTGAGTTTTATTTTTTGTTAACATGATTACACGTTTATGACGTTCGGCGTTCTGATTGGCTGCTCCAAGTTAATAAACAATTCAAAGGTCTAAACGCGATAACATTACGATTGCGTTAATGTAAAATTAAATTTACGCTACGCACCCAGAGTGCCTATTAAGGGTTTATCACCTATTCGATCGGCTTAACGATAATTGCCCTTTGTAAGGTGTGAATCGAAATTTACACGCAAAGTTCAGCCGTCGATGTTTATGCTTTATTAGTGCTTTGTGTCTTGCTATTTTTTGTGTTTATATCGGTCCCCTATAAATTGGTAACATGTATGATAATAGCTGCAAAAGTTAAAGAGCTAAGAGATACAATAAATAACGACGAGGAACCATAATTAAAAGGTAAGAAAGTATATCTCATTTGGCAAATTAAAATTATCTTAATTATGTTGTAATACGATTCAATGGCCTTGTCAACGACGTGCCTATCGTGATAAAATGACAATAATATCTATCTACAAATTGAAGTTAATTAATGTTAATGCTATCTAATAGGTGACCAAACTCTTACTAGTGACTCTCACAAGAATTGGACCTTTATCATTAAGATACATTTTAACTAATTAAAATAACAACTTTCAACACTAAAGACCTTAAAATGCAAACAAATACATACCTAATTATCATCTTCTCTAAAAGTTATTTTACTTTAGACCAAAACAAAATATCGTACCAGGGTTCTGTTAGTCCAACTCATAGACAATTATAAATAGGACTGCACGATTGGCTCGGTGACTCGGCAACTGGCTGCCGCGCAACGTGTAGCGGGTTCGATTCCCGCACGGAGCAACTCTTTGTGCGATCCACAAATTGTCGTTTTGGGTCTGGGTGTCATGTTTATGACACAGAAGAAAATCCTAGGGTGGGCAACGTTTTAAAAAAAAAAATGACCAAATGAAATACTTGTGAATTTAGCTACAACAACAGCAACATAAAATTAGATATTGTGAAACAGGCAAAAACTGTAAAGCAAAATTTAGATACATTGACATGATAGATACGATTATTAAATATTTAAATAAATCAAAGACTATATAAAAAAAGAAAGGAAACGTGTATGTTAGACTGTCAAAGGAATTGCCCGCTACAGGCGATGCAATGTGTGGTGCCAATGAACACATAAATACCAATAGGTATATCAAATTTGCAACACCCGTGTTTACGTTGTCGAGTTGAGAGATTTCGTTTATTAACGACGCAAATTTACTTTTTGGACTCTATTTCATTGTTTGACTATTAACACTCCCAAATTGTTGTATTAAAGAATTCTTAGCAGATGCAGTGATTTTCGTGTTAAATAAAATAATAGTTGTTATTAGTTAATGTAATAAATAAATGTACGAGAATATTGTTGTAAGCCGCTAGTTATAAAAGAAATTGTCGAAAGTTGCAAACGTATCCCCATTTACTAGTATTTCTGTATCGACTAAAATACTGACCGAACCACAAATCACGATGTACGGAATGAGTCACTAACGCGTATTTTTTTAACACTCGGAATAAACCTGGTGTAGTTAAAATACCTAAATTATTGGTTCAGATGTTCCTCTGTAGAGAAACGACCTTCCAACACTTAAATTATACGTTCACCTGTACAAGTACACGTTATAAATTCATTACGTATTTTTATGTGCGATTTTTTTATGTGAAATTACGAGTAACATACGTATTCTTTATACGTTTTATTATATGACTTGCTATAAAGGTGGTCTCTTATTGCCAATAGTTAGAAACTACGCTTCAGTTCTATAAGTCATCAGTTCATCACTATGCAACTACCACTGAGTTTTGTCTTAAAACACTCAAGTACTTATAATGGACGAGAAGACGTTGAGTACTTCCAGTACTGTAGACTTCTGTTTCAAAGTACTCGAATATGTTGGACCAGAATATGTTGATTAGTTCCGATAGTGAGTAGCGAAGGTTGATGTCAAATTGAGAGAGAAGCACGAGAGACTAAGTTTCGATATAATTAATGGCGTTCTCATAGGCCCAGCGTAGTGGCAAGTTATATGCCTACTAAAAGTACCTTCAGTTTACTAAACTAGGTCGGTACTTCGTGACTTCGTTCAACAGGTGGTGTGAAGTTGACAAAACTTACAGTTCCTACCAGTAGTCCAATCAGCACGAGCCAAGCTCCAGCAACAGGTGGTACATTTTATATGAACCAACGCCAATTTTATTATCCTATAAAAGCGAATGTACGCTAGAAAGAGCCAGTTGTTCATAGTATTTTTGTCTCTTTTTCGCTATTCAGTCGTAAGTAATCTGTAAACGCTTTTATGTAGGTACATAATGTACAATCTAAAAGGAAGCAGGGAAACTTTGTTTCTATGTACTGTTTCATAATTAGTTTGCATCTAATCTAGTAACAACAGAAAATGTGTCTTATATTTAGTAAAATATGGTATCTAATAAATATAGAAAATGTTTTTAAATCATTAATCAATGTTAAAACTGCCAATTGACCACCTGGGTACCTACGTATTACAGGTCACATACATATTTCAGACTACAATTATAGTGAGTGTAGCTTTTACAAATTAACATCTTTCGATAAAGAAAATCTTAAAGTCGTAGGTAAAAACAGCTTTATAAGGGATTTAAGTTCAATTTTCAACTAAGAAACTATATTTTTGCTATTATTCAACCTCTATTGTATTCTTATGGAAAAAGTGTCACACAATTTTATTACTTATGGACTTTGAAGTACTTAGTTTAGGTACCGTATACCAGACTGAACCACTTTAACTAGTTGCCATAACTCTAGAACACACAAATTTACTTTTTTCTAAAGTACAATCAATTAAAAAGCAAAACAAGAGATTGACCTCTCATTACATAAAAAAATTTATTTGTTTTACGCCCAAACTATGTAAATTAGTGAATAACTGAAACAGTTTATTATGTTATAAATAAGGTAGTGTGCAGTGTCCAGTAATAGTATGTCCATAAAATACATTGCAGGTCGACAGCCTGGATCGATACCAGATACGTAAAACCACAAAAAGGTAACCGCCCCGTTAATTGATACTGATTGAAAATCATTTTCCAATTTATCAAAATATCTGCATTTCAAAAGCAATGAAGCATTCCTTTTGTGATGTGCTTTTACAGCTCATAATCGGAATATTTAATCGCACATATTTCGACAAAAATGCTAGTGCTCATCAGAGGCACTTTATTAAAATATTCATTAACGTTTCGAACTCGTTAAAATGTGCTGGTATTGTAATTAAAAATGAAACACGAGGCTTTTGAATATACCGAAGTAAGTCATGCAACAAAATGGCGAATGCCTTTCGTTCGCGATACACAAACGCTTTGACAATGACGTGAAGGTGCAAAGCGTTTACGCGCATAATATTTTGTGGCACTTGAAAAGTGTCAAATCCTTTTTTTTTGTTAACCTACAGAGCGCCAATCAATACATTTTATAGCAGACTTTGTACAGGTGTTCCAGCACTTTGATCACAGTTTAATCCTGTAAAGTGTTAAGGTGTTGGTCGCCTAAGTTTTTCATACTCTGTGTTTCTAGTGATCCACTGCCGTTGGATTATCTCATGAAGCAGATCCTAACATGATACATTATTATACAGCGTGCTTCACTTTCATAGATTTTATTGACTAAAGTTAGACATTTGGTACAGCCGTAGGAACTGTTGTGAACACTAAAAAAATTGAGTGCTAATTGGATAAAGGTGGTCAAGATTTACGTGCAATGAATTAGATAGTGAACTAAAGGAATGCTTTCCTTCAGTACCCAAGTCTTATTTTTAGTATTAACTAGCGACCCGCCCCGGCTTCGCACGGGTGCAATATGTATATACATACAAACCTTTTTTAAGAATCACTCTATCTATTAAAAAAAACCGCATCAAAATCCGTTGCGTAGTTTTAAAGATCTAAGCATACATACGGACATACAGCGAAAGCGACTTTGTTTTATACTATGTATTGATAAG